ATGCAGATACCTAAGGAGCCCAGCCAAGGAAGAACACTGTAAACCTTACATTGCCAAATATCAAGGCTTATCACAGAGCAGCACTAATTAAGGCAGTGGGAGTGGCGCAAGTAAAGATTGGTCCCAGTCACATACACACACAGACACTTGACTTATGGCACAGGTGACACTGGCGGGGGAGGGGGGGAGCTTTTCAAGAGATGGTGTTGGAAAATTGATACCCAACTGGGGAAAAGAAGTCATGACTCTCCTTCATCCCATTCATAAAAACCCAGGTGGATTGTATATCTAAACATAAAACAGCAAAGCTTCTTAAAGTAAACAAGGGGAAATAGATTCATAACACTCAGGATGGAAAATATTTATCAAATAGAATATAATAAGCACCAACTATATGGATGATATTGAAACTACTCTGAATTAAGAAATACTGTTCATAAAATAACACATTAAAAAAATGAAAAGACAAAGCACAAGAAGAGATGATACTTTTAATATATTTTATTGTCAGTTAACCCATTCCAGATTATATAAATTTATAAATTAATACATAAGAACTAATATAAAGGAAGAAAAAGAAAAGAAATTTGAACAGTTTACCAAACAGAATATCCAAAGGACTGTCAAACACTTAAAAAATGCCACATGGAAATACAAATTAAAACTGTAATGAGCTACCACAGCATACTTAAAAGAATGCTGAAACTCAGGAAAGGACAGACAATACCAAAGGGTGGATGGGAGACAGAGCAAATGAAACATGCCTACATTGCTGATGGGAGCATAAGTTGGCACACACCTTTGAAAACTTGCATTTCAGTGTCTAGGAAAGCTGAACATACGCATGCCCTTTAAATCAGAAATTCTCCTCCAAGATATATGTCTAACAAAAATTTTTATGGGGGAGCAAAAGACATGTATACAAAATTTCTTATGAGCAATATTAATAATGGCCAAAAGTGAATAAACAATCCTAATGTCCATCAAAAGCAGAATGGAAAAATAGTATATTCTCTTACAATAAAATACCAGACAACAATCTAAAGGAATAAACTATTATATGCAGAAACATTCGGTAACTGTTAAAAATAGGGCTTCCAGATAAAATACAGGATGCTCAGTTAAATATGCACAGCATATAACTGTACTAAAAATTGTTTAAGTTCAAATTTAACTGGGTGACCTGTAATTTTTATTTGCTTAATCTGGCTGCCATACTTAAAATGGGAAAAAGATGTGTAAGAGTACATGCCAAATAACTCTACTTCTAAAACGTTTAAAATCAAGAAAAAAACTAGTTTCACAGTGCTGTGAGCCTGGGTGGTGGTTATTTTGGAGAGGGGCAGTAACTGGAGGGAGCTTGCAGGTGATTTTCAAATAGGTAGTTTTACTTCTTGATCAGAGTGGTTGTTAATTTGCATTGTGAAATCTGGAGCTGCACACTTGGATTTATTTATATATGTCTACCTTTTGAAATGTATATTATACTAATTTCTTTTTAAGGGAAATCATGATATTTTTGTGCCACAAAAAAAAAATAAAAGAAAAAAAAGAAAATCACAGTTAGTATAGTGGTGCACACTTGTATAATTCCATTTACTCCAGAGGCTGAGGCAGGAGGCTAACAAGTTCGAGGCCAGCCTGGGAAATTTCACAAGAATCTGTCTCAAAGGAAAAATAAAAAGAGCTGGGGATGTATCTCAGTGTGAAAGCCCTGGGTTCAATCCCCAGTAAGGCGGGGGAGGGGGGGAGAAAAAGAAAGAGAGGCGGACGGGGATGAAGGAAGGAAGAAAGAAAAAGAAAGAAAGACAGACACTGGAGACAGTGTTAAGCATGAATTAGAAAGGAGTCAAACTAGTGTTAAGAAATAAAGACTAATGTAGGGAAAAAATGGTAAGAGTTTTAAATACTGCCTAAAGGACAGAATACATTATCGAGATAGCAGTGTTATTCACAGGAAGTCTTTCTAACTGGTTGCAATCAGCTATCATGTGGTAGCTAGGAATACTTCCAGATATTTGGCACAGGATATTGAGTAAGTTGTGGGCAGGGTCAACACTTATGGCTGAAGATTGTGTAGCCTCTGCAACCCTAAAGGTCAAATGTCCTGCAACCTGAATTCTATTGTCATAAAAAAAAATTCCTGGCAGATTATAATAAAGTGTTCATTTGAACAAAATGTGCACCTTAAAACACTTTTTCTGAGAAATCAAAATGAAGTATGCACTGTGTTTTTTGAACTCCCATATGGCAATTGTCAGTTTGATTGGATTGAAACACCTTTCTCAAGTGGATTAGCCTTCTGATGAGTTCTTTAGCTGAATGGATTTACGAGAAGCTAGGACCTAACTGGGTTAAGCAGGTCACTGAGAGTGTGGCTTTGAAGCATGTGTCTTGTCCTTGGATCCTTCTCTGGCTCTTTCACCCTCTGCTTCCTGGCTGTCATGAAGTAAGTGGCTTTCCTCTGCCACACCCTTCTGCCATGGTGCTTCTTCCTTGGAGCCAGCCAACCAAAGACTGAATCCTCTGAAACTATGAGACAAAATAAATCCTTTCTCCTTTTAGTTGATATATGTCATTATTTTCTCACAGCCACAGAAAACTAACAGACCACACATGTTCCATATTTGCAGGTAGTCCTGGTGAGGGTGTTTGATATTTACATTAAAAACAGAAGAGAATACATTTGCATGGGTGCATTAGGAAGAGAACAGAACAATTAGGTGAGCTTTCAATAATACCTTATAATAATACCTTAACTGTTTCTAGAACATTCAGTAAGAAGTGTATAGCAGGAAACTGAATATATGGGTGTATATGGGGTCTTGTCTGAGCTAACAATATAAATTTGGAAGTTGGAAGTTGTCAGTGTGTAGGAGTTAACTGGCATTGTCAGAAAAGATCACCCAGCAAGACTTGGAGAGTAAGAAGCAAAAAGAATGAAAGGTAAAATCCTGAACAAAGTGTCATTTAAAGAGTTAGAAAAAGCTGGGTATAGTGGTGCATACTCATAATCCTAGTCCTCTGGAAGGCTGAGACTGGAGGGTCACAAGCTTGGTCCTAGTCTGGGCAAAATGAAAATAACAAAGGGCTGGAGATGTAGATCAGTGGAAAGGCACTGGGTTCAAACCCCAGAGCTGAAAAAGAAAAAAGCAGAAAAAAAATATGAAAAAGGCTAACGATGGTGCAGTTAGACAGCTATGAAATGCAAACTAGGAAATAATATAATGGTGAAGAAAAGCTGTAGAATAGAGATTGAAGATCCTATTTGGCCTTGGCAAGTAGGAACACCTTCATTAAGGTGTTCGGTTAATTTCAGAGATGTGTGAAAGAAACAATGGAACACATTGAAAAAACAGTAGGAAATGGGAAAATGAAATATCAAGTTTTTTTCTGTAAGTTTAGGTATGAAGGAAAAGAGAAAGCAAAATGATAGACAACTCAGCAACTGTAGATTTTTCAGATGGGAGAAAATTAAGCAGGTTTATCTGTTAAGCAGAACTAGTCAGTGAAGAATTCTGAAAACAAAGAGCTAAGGGCTGGATCAAGATCTTGGGGAAATGGGACTTTGAAACATAAGTGTGAAGACTCATTCTGACTGAGGTGGGCTGCTGCACCTTCTGAGACTTGGCCTCAGGCAGATACATTTGATAATTTGTATGGTATAAAAGGGGGAAATCAGGAGAATCTATCCTTACAATCTCTATTACATCTATAAAATTGCATGGAAGGTCATGTGCTAAAGGTGGGACATAAGTCACAGAATGGCTGGGTAGTGATAAGTCAAAGTCATCAAATTTTATAGTAGCTGTGGAGGGGCCTGGGAGGCTGAACTGAGCAGGGAAAATAACATCTGTGGAGGGACATTACCAAACCTCTGAGCTTGGAGGTCACCAGTTTTCATTAGGACCAAACTCCAAAATGGTGCATCTGTTTTGAAATGTGTGGCAGCTCTGAAGATGAAAAGGCACGCTGTGACACTTAGTGAGAGACTCGGTGCATAGATACACAAGAACTTTGAGGGGGTGCAGCCTCTTCAAGCAGTGGCTGAATGATGCTCATTGGATACAGATGGGAGTGAACCCAGTAAGACCCTTGTGGGCCTGGAGCAAGGAGGTTGCTGAGGGGACAGAAGAGTGGGACATGATTGGAAGAAGCATTTGTGGAGCGAGCCATGTGACAGTGCAGGCAGCAAAGGCTGCTGTGGTCAGTGTCACTTCTGAGTCATACATTTTGGAGATGGAGCTGTTCCAGCTGGTCATGTGTTGCAGCAGATGGCCCTGAAAGTTATTGCTGAAGCAGAGGAAATATCCCATGTAGTGAACCACACGGGGCTATAATGAGGAAAGGATCATTCTCAGGGATGTTCGGATTTAGCCAAAATAATGGTAGAACTATTGTGGACAAGAAGATTATGAGCAAAGTGTCTTTGGCAAGTGGTCAGAATGACAAGATCAGTAGAGACTAATGAAGAATGTGATTCACAGTAGGTGAACTTACTGATTTGTCTGTCAAAGGAGATGGTGTAGGAGTTGAAAGGACACTGCCTGGAATCAGTACGGTGGAATAGTGGAACATGGTTCTTAAAGCATTTTAGAAGAGCAGCTTCATCTCAAGAGAGTTATGAATAATCTGCTACCTTCTAGGAAGAATCAGACTTCAAAGAAGCTCATTAATTGGACAAGTAGTCTGAAGACAAGTGGATAATATAGAAAAACTCCAATGGAATAAGGGCTTAAAATATCCTGTAATTGAAAAAAGATAGGCACTGTGATGTTAAATCCATCAGAGGAGTGTAGAACAGTATGGTAAAGCCTAAAAGAAATAAATTGAAAGAGAGACTTTCTTCTCAGTGTTTTGTAGCCTTTGACTATCATATCCCACAGAGACTTGAAGTCATTGTAGGGCTCTGGGACATATGGTCAGTAAGTAGTAAAGCAGGATTCCAGATTCTAGAATACTCCGATAGTTAGCTGTGATTGGTGGCCAATTCTGGAAGAACCAGAAGTAATGCAGTTGTTCATACTGGTCTTGGACTTCCCCAACAAATTTTAACTTTTATATTGAGAGTCATGAAAAATTAAAACTCCTATTCAAAATGATACCCTTAACCTAGAGAAAATTCTGTGAGGTAAGAAGAACTTAATAATGTTCCCCTAACAACAGATATCAATGGATGGTTGCTAAGACACTCTGAGAGTGCTAGAAATACCAGTGATGACTATCATTTAGTTTAACTTGTTTCCTAAAAAGCTTTTTGGAGGAAGATATACAAACTATGTTGCTTATATTATATTTGCTAAGCTAGAAAAGCGGACAAAGCCTGTTCTTAAAAGCAGTTTCAAAACATGAGGCCCAAAATAAAATATTTGATTACTATTGGATATCCATAAAATTCAGTTATTACAAAGACCATTCTCTTTAAGAAAGTTCAAACATGGGCCAGGGATTTAGCTCAGTGGTTCTGCTGCATGCCTCGCAAGCGCAAGGTCCTGAGTTCGATCCCCTGTACCAAAAAAAGTTCAAACACAGTTGATTTTTTTTTTTTTTTTTTAGTGGTGAACTAAAAATATATGAAAGGCTAAAATCTTGAATAAACTTTTTAGGGGATATGTGAAGGAAGTGAATCACACCTGTCACTGGGATACTGAAGAGTTATGGCAGACAGAATCTGCTAGGTTATCATCACAAAAGGGTGATGGCTGTTCACATGAGCATCTGAGAATCACAGGATGGAAGACAGGGATCCCTGCCAGTTTAGAAGACAACCAAAAAAAATGAATATGGCAGATGTATACACTGTGGATATTTTTCCCTCCTACAGTTATTCAAACACTCTTGGAACATTTTGAAAATCTACCCACATGGTAGAGTGCCTGTCATTGAAGTATTCAGAAAGAAACTGGAATTCTCAGGGTACCTTGTGCACAAACATAGGCTCACTCACACATACACAGATTGAAAAATTGCTTCTTCAATCATCCCCGATGTCAACTAAGCCATATGTTACATAATTGGGAAACTTGTTTTGAAAAATAGTTGTATGAAGTCCAGCCTCATAGTTACAAATCAACATTGACGTGAGTAGTTTTGAATCCTTCTCTCCCTCTTTCTCCCCCCCTTCTTCTTCCTCCCCCTCCTCTTCCTCCATCTCCTCCTCTTTCTCCTCCTCTTCTTTCTTCCTCTCTCTCAGCATATAATATTAAGAAAGTAAGGGCCAAAAAAGATAAACAGCATGCTAAATAAGAAATGACATAAGTTAGCATTGACTTAGCATATAAGACAATGTTAGTGTAAAAATAAGTATTCACTTTGGCATTAATTTAAAAAGTCATATTTGTAGTACCTTGAAAAGAAGAGGCTAAATAAGACTGGCTGTTTGAGCTTGAAATGTCTTTTGTGTTTTATTTGTTCTATAAAATCACCACTGGAATGTTTTGACATTAGAATGCTTTGGTTAATTAAGTGTTCTGGTTGACAAAGTGTTTGACTGAAAACACCTTTTGCTTCAACCTTTCATGCTGAAAAGATTTTCTTTCACAGGCTCAGGTACTTTGCAGCTTTCAAAGAAGAGTTTGTTGTATTCAAACAAATCTTTTCCTCATGTCTGAAGCTGGAAATGGTATACTTTTTTGTGCCTTGCCACACCTTTTTAATAATTTTCCTAATTTTGTGTGTACTTTCTAATCCCAAGCACTCAATGCATGGACAACTCCCTGGGTCCCCCACTGAGATGTAACTTTGGCATGAGAGCCCCAACCCCACCAGTGCCTCCCCAGTCTAGCTGCTGCTCATGATAGTCAAGAGCTGTGTAAACACCAAACCTTCACAGTGTGAATTGATGTGTAAAGTACTTGGCCTGTGTTCTTTCTACTTCTTCTGTAGTCAAGTCTTGGAACACAGCACTTAGAACACAACTTTAGATTAACCTCTCCCTTTTTTACTTCAATGAATATGCACTGTTTGGATTGAATGGCTTTTTAAAATTAAATTTTGTGGGTTTTAAATAATTTCAAATTATAAGCTAGAGAGAAACTCAATAAAACTAATGAATGCTAAGGTCCTAATAATAAGTAAATTCTTCAATATTTACCCATTCTAGGATAATCTGTAATTTAGTAATCCAGGAAAGGCAAACTTTTATTCTAAGTAACAAATCTCTTAAGTGGAATTTTAGTCACCATGGCCGTCAGAAGGGTTGACATTAGACAGAAGGAAGAATTAAAACTCACAGCCTATTCTTTAGGCCAGTTTTGCTATTTGTGGTCCTTGGGGTGACCATACTAAATAGCAGTTAATATGCATCAAGAGTTTTATACACTTATTTATTCCCATTCTTATCATGGAAGAAATTTAAGACCATTTTTAAGGATACATATGATGTGATGTAAAATATACAATTGAGAATTGGGAGGGTGGATATAAACAGAGCCGAGAGTAAAACTGAACCAAAGGTAAAAATTCCAAGTGCTGTGATTTCTTAAATTCACTCATTTATTCCTCTTCAAATAGTAAGCACCCACTGCTCATCTGGCATTCATCTGGGTGGCTATGTAATGACCCAGTCCTCCTACTGGTTGATTACCTCAGATACACAATCTATTCTGATTGATTGGTGTAATGCTTTATATTTAATATTTTTAATACTACTCCCTAATTTACATGGGCCCTCCCCTTACAGGCTTGGAGCCTTTCACAGACAGATATGCATACAAGCAACTACAATAGAGTATGAGAAAATCAAATACAGTATAATGTATTTAGTCAAAACTAAAACAAACAAAAATGGCAAGAAAACAAAACAGTGAGAGAGAAACAGGCAGAAACCATGTCATGAGAGCTTTGTTACATTTACAAAGACATTTGCACTTGACCCTTACTGAGTTTTAAGCAAGAAAATAAAATAAGTTATGTTGAATGTTGAAAAGATGATGCCGGCTACAGTGTGGAACATCTCCTGCTGCCCCCACCTGGTCAAATTCTACCAGACAAGACCTCGCTCAGAAATCCTCTGTACCCTAGGCAGGTTCTAAGCAGGGGTTAATGGGGCTAGCATGCCTAGGCTTAAATCCTGACTTATAACTAGGAGCTGTTTTACTGTAGGCAAGAAATTTAAACCTCTCTGTCCCTCAATTTAAACACCTGCAAAATGGGGTTAGGTATGCACTGTCTGGGTAGTTGTAAGGAATAAAAGGAAACACAAGTACACAATACAAGCAGAGTGCTTAGAACCTTGTCTAGAACACAACGACCCTCACTGGGTGCTTTATCCACAAGTTTTCTCACCATTATGATAACCGTTTAAGGGACAGATCATTATCACCACTTCACATATTCATAATCTTTCAAGACGCCTCTCACAGTACCAGCCATAAAACTGAGCTTTAGACTTAAAATTTTGTTTTGAAATTTCTGTCTCCCAGTTGTGATTGCACTTGATAATTGACAATAATTTTACTTTTGCCTTTCTGTTTTGGATGTCAGAGTGAATATGCATTTGAAAGTTTCAGTTATTGAGTGGGGTTTATGTTAACTTTCTGGACTGGATATCAATATGTCATCTCCTAAGAGATGAGGTCTCTGTTTAGGCAGAAAAATTCTGTGACGTGAGCACCTCCTAAGTTTCTTTTCTTTCCTTTTCTTTTTTTTGGTACCAGGGATCGAACTTGGGTCCTTGCGCTTGCACACCAGGCAGAGAAACCACTGAGCTAAATCCCCGGCCCCCTCCTAAGTTTCTGAAGCAACAGACAGAACCAGATCTCTGCAAAGTGCTGTAGGGAATTTTGGGCCACTAAAGTAGCAGGAAATGCTGCTGAGATCCACCAGGACACTGGCTCCTCTGACCTGACTGGTAGGCAGTTTCTGCAGAGGGAAAACCATGACCTGCTTGGGCTAAAACCTCACAAACTCCAAGTATATTGAGAAAAATGCTTAAACCAATATTTCAGCAGAAAAAACCTGGAGCTTATGTGTCTATGAGACTTGGGAAACATATATATGTTAAAGGGCTCAGTGCAATTTACATATTTTCCTGTATTCGACCCACAAGAAAACAGAGCTGTGGACAGGAGTCAGGGACTTTGGAAAAGGTCTCCATGGAACCAGGGTCCTTATGTCACTGTGGCGGGACATGAAGAATTTGTAAAGACATTTTATTAGACATCTTAGGGAGCAGAAAATATAGTTTCCATTCCACACATCTCAGCACCTGTGGACTCACTAAAGCCTAAAGAGCAAGCGCCTCCTTCAAAATGCTGCCTCGGACAACCTAGCCAGGCTGGTACTTTATGTCATTTGTTCCTACCCTGGGATAAAAATCATGCACCTCAGAAATCTTTCCAAATTTTATCTCCAGTTTAAAAAGCAGAACTTTCTTATTCTGTTTTGCTTTCTGTGGTTTCAGGTCTACTGCGTTCTATTTGTTTTTACCTCTCTGACTTTCAGCTGCTCTTATCTGTTTCTTTTTGTATTTTGCCTTTGTTATGGACATGGTCATTTCCTCTCTTGCTTCTCTTTCTTTTTTTGTGAAAATGAGTCGGGGGCCATCTTAATTCTGAACCAAAGGTCAGCCTCTGTGCACTCTGTTGTCCAGCTCAGGGTCATAGAATTTTAGTCCAATTTAATGCACTGGACCCAGGTTTAGGATACAGGAAATGTTTGGGTGCCAGGTCCTTACTCTTCGACAGTCTCTGAAACCTGTGGTAATCAAGTCATGGTTCCTGTTGCAGAAACTGCTAACACTATCTCAGTTTCAACATCCTCTTTTCTCAAATCCATATTAGATATTTTGCCAGAAGTGATTGCCATTTTCTCCATTTCAGGAATCAGTCTGGTTGCCTGAGGAGATTCAGACAGCAATAACCTCAGATTTTTAGAGGATTCAATACCATATTCTTTACATTATCCAGCATACTCTGAAGTCTTAAAAGGCAGTGTGCTCAGTTTAAATATTTGGACTTTGGAGGCAGATAGATATGGATTCTATATCAGCTCTTCCTTTGAAACTTTGAACAAGTTATTTTTAAAGCTATCATTAGATTTTAAAATTAAAACACTTATTGAAATGCAATATACATCTAAGCTCAATGACTTTTCTGAGTGAGCAACCCTATGTAATGAGCTAAATACACTATATTACAGCAATACTTGCATACCAATCTTTATAGAAGCACAATTCATAATAGCTAAATCCCAGAAACAGCATGAATGCCCATCAACAGTTGAATGGATAAATAAAATGTGGTATGTATGCATAATGGAATATTACTTAGCTACAAAGAAGGATAAATTTGAGACATTTGTAGGAAAATGAATGTACCTTGAAAATATAATGCTGAGTGAAATAAGTCGGACACACAAGCTTAAGCACTGTATGATATCTCTCATTTGAGTATGGCAAAGTACAAAGATTGAAATGAAGGATAGATACAAGGAAACAAGGGGATAGATCTCCTGCAAATGAGAAGGAGTTCAGGAGACTATGAGGGAAGAGGGTGAAGGAAAGGGGAGGGGAGGGGAAGTAGGAGGATTTAAGATATATCATGGACAGGTGCCAAATATTCACAATGAATACAAACGTTCTATCTCATAAACATGAGCTAAGAATAATAACTATTATTATTAGCTAAGAACAAAATAAAATAATGAAAATTGGGAAAGGGGATTTAAAGATGGAGAGAGGTGAGTGGGAAGGAAAATGGAACTAAAAAGCTGTGTTATGTGCATGTACCTATTCCTTAAGATGAACGTAAATTTCATGCACTGTAAACATGTACTCATAAAATAAAGTAAAATTAAATTAAATTAGTTTGATTAAAATTTGAGAAGTAGCACAGGCTAATGGAAAGTACATAATTGTGTGATTAACAAGCACTTAGTAAAGGTTCATTTGCTTAGCTTTCCCTTTCATGAGAGTCCGAATTGCAGCACGGAAGTGTGCAATCCACTCTGGCTGAGAAGTCTGACATACCTGGGTTTGAAACCTGGCTCTGTACTATCTCTGTGATCTTAAGCAAATTCAGAACTTCTCTGTCTTAATCTTCTCTTTTATACAACAGAGTTAATCATACCCATACACAGGATCATTGTGAAGGTAAATGAGATTATTTACATTGAGCACCTGGCACCGAGTAGGAAAAGGTTTTAGTAATAAAAATCTTAACAAACGGACTCAGTAGTCTAAGTTGTTTGTATTCCAGTTAATGTTCCTAATTACTGATTAATGTAGAACTAATCATCGTTACAGCAAATGTTCATTGAACCCTTACATTGTGCTAGACACTATTCAAAACATTACATTATTGCAACTTTACAATCACTCTGAATTTTTTTTTATTGTACTCTCCAATTCAACAGATGAGAAAATTGAGGTTAAGTAATTTCTCCAAGTCCTGTAAAGGGTAGAATGAGTTTTGAAGTAAAAATGTTTACTGCATAGTCTATGATCTTAACCATATCTCTCTACACCGTGCTGCTGTTCCACTTTACTGTTTACAGAATCAATTTTAGAGCTTGTCCCGTGCATCTGTGACTGTTTTTAATAAGCCATATACATATGGTTTGCAATGTGCTTGGGTTCAAGGTTTTGAGTCCAGCATATTTGCCAAACACATGTCTATTGGATTTGAGAGTAGGGTGCTTGGGATTCGGTGGTTCACATTTAATATCATTTGTATTGTACTAAAACTTCATGTTTATTCTTTAAACTACAGATACTACCTGAAACTTTAACTGCCTGCCTTATGCTATTCCTTCATGAGGTAAGCACAATCTTTCAGCAAGCTCAGTGTTGATGGTTGTCTCCCACAGTGGTCATGCCATAGGATCAAATTTGAAGTTTCATGGTGATCAATTCAGGACCAGTCAAATTTGTGGTTCACAATGGTTTCAAGTAAATATTTAAATGAGTACTAGTGGAAATTTGATCCATGAGTGGGAGCCTGGAAAGAGAAAATATCCTTTACTTATTAAAAAACTGCTTATTAAAAAATACTGTAAAGCAATACTTATTATGCTTGATGCTTAAAAAAAATGACTATATTATGCTCTCCGTGCTTATTTTATGATCTCTACTTTCTTAATCCCCTTTCATCTCTGTATTATTATTTATCTCTTATTATTTCTTTGTGTGTCACAACTGACCATATCAATTCTCCTATCTCTAGATCCTCCCATTGTCTGTGGTACTACCTGCCAGTCCTTCTTTCTTAATCCTCAACTCTGTTATGTTCTATGATATGTAGCTTCTATTAGTTGAAATATTAACATGTTCCTGGTACTCTGAGAGAAATGAAGAGTAATAAACCTTTGATCTTTCCTTCAGGTTTTCTACAATATAATCAGGATATATATACACAGTGCATAATATGGTGAAATTGGAGAAGCATGCACAAGGCCAAAACATGTCTAAGAGGAGAAGATACTTAGCTCTACAGAAGGAAGGTACAGTGGGGGGATCCACAGAGGAGCTAGCCTTTGAGTTACTTGCTCATGGATACATAGAAAATTATCATTTATACCAAATGAATAAGAACATTCTAGGTAAAAGGAGCAGCATGAACACATCCATAAAGGCATGAAAAGATGAACCATGTTTAGGGTCATAAAAAGTTCCTCTTATCTGGGAGACAGAAGATGGATAGACCTCTAGAATCTCAGATGAGTGAGGTATTTCAAACTTTTGCTAAGAATGATTTTTCTATGTTTATGGAAAAGCCATCAAACCATTCATTTTTTTCATGCATGCATCTACTGAAATTTTTATTGCACTCTTTCTATGTGTCTGTCTCTGGAATGAGTACTGTATAGATAATACTAAGCACGATAGTGATAGTACAGTCTAATGGTGCAGACAGCTCATTCTATGAGGCCAGCATTTCCCGGATACCAAAATCAAAAATACTATAAGAAATATACAGACCAATACCCTTGTCAATACTACTGCAAAAAGTCCTCAACAAAATATTAGTATTCAACAGCACATTAAAAATATTTTCTGGGATAACAAATCAGTAGTAACAGCGGAATAAAAGTGAAACCCACAAGTAACACTGTTCCTCATTCTACAACTAGTGGTATTTTACTGGAGCAATCTTACTGTTAATCATGCTTGAAATTTTTTAAGGCATAGACATACACTATCAAAGTTACAAAACCTTCAAATTTTATTTAATTGCATGATGAAATCTTTGAAAGTCTTCCAAGTTTTGGTACACTGTCATCTTTACTAAGTGTAATCAATACCCAATTAGGGACTTGAGGAGTTTGCACTGAGGATGTGAAAATCCCCAGCATTGCTCACCCCAGGATCAAGCAGATTAATGTGATGATTCTGCGAAGTACAACCATACTTGGCAGATATGGGCCATTGGGATCATAATGAATTTTCTCACAAAGAATCACTGACACATTTCTTTAGTTTCACATATTGTTTTTCCTAAGAATTGTTAAAAGTACCCACAAACATTTTTGCAGCCCATAGAATTTTGCTGAATGGTAAGAAATTATCTTTACTTTTCCTCTGTCTCTGTGTACATCTTTACTGGCGAATGTAGTGTATGCTCACTTGCCTCCTCCTCCCTGCATCCTTGCACACAAGGCGCTTCTAAAAAAACCTTATCTGTAACAGCCAAACAGAGGACTTTTATTTGTTGACCCAGGGAGGAGAGCAACAAATCTGCAATACGGAGCAACAAACTGTGTAATACTGTATGTGAGAGGTTTCTTTTCTCTCGCCAGGAATCATGGCTGTAATTGATAGCCTAGAGCTAAACTGAAAACATGTTAAACAAATATGAACCTATTGGGCCCAAACTCCATAGATACTGTTGTATCATTATGAGTTTTCTATCATCTTTTAAAAAGACTCGATTTAATGCTTAGGTCCAAATTTAATATGTGAGGACAAGTTCAACAATTAAAATAATAATAATAATAAAAACTCATTGGCTTATATTTTGCCTGGATAAAAAAAAAAAAAAGGTGCCAAAAATTCACAAGTAATAGCAATGTGATCCTAGCTAGGGGAGGATAGGACGGGGCATGAGGGCGGGATCTAGACAGATTCCTGAATCTGGTGAAAGTTGGAAGATGGATGGATAAAGAAAAAAGCTAAGAGGGATCCAAGGAGCCAAGTGTCTAGAATGCAGATCCTGGGAAGGAAGATCATGTAAGTCTGAGCTTCATAGTATCAAGACCAGTCATGATTGGTGGATGAGATAAAAGCAAGTCTCCATGAGCTAGCACTGGTATCCAAGACATGAGCCAGCAGGTTTTAGCAATTCGCATAAGTCAAATGCCAGGGTAAGCAGACAGGTGACTATAAAGCAGGGATCCAGACCTGGGGTCTTCAGGGTCAACAGCACCAAGGCTGAACACAAAAATACTTCCATGAGGCTGCATGTGGGAAGGTACATGTGGAATGCACTCCCCATATTCCCCCCAGCTGCTATGCACAGTCATCCTGACATGGGCCTGGGAGGCTTCAGGGACAACCTGGGGTTGAGAAGACAGGAAGATAAGACATAGGCCAAATATGAGCTCCTAACCTTGGGTTGCACAGCTGATCAGTGAGCACATTTCTACAAATGAAGCCTTTCATTAAAAATACAAATTATTTAAGAAAAAACCCTAAAAATCTTATCAAAGTTTGAGGCTTCAAAAATGAAATATACCACTAAACTTTTTCTTCTGGCTACCAGGCCAGCAAAGCCAGTTCAGAGAGAAGCCGTAAATCTAGAAAGCTTGTCTCTGTCTGTGCCTTTCATTTAAGCAGCACTTTTTCTTCTGTCTGGGAATTATCTGTTTCTTCGTTGCTCACCCCCACAAAAAAACCCACCAGGGTGGGAGTTGAAATCCCACTATTTATACTTCTGACTAAATAACTGTCTGCAAACTGAAGTTTAGTCTTAATGTGTTACTTCAAATATATTTCTTTTTAAATAGGGTGGTATTTTTTCCAATTACTAAAGTTATGAATTTTACCCTTAAGGGGAAGTGGGAAGAGTGCTGTGTGTCAGGCAAAGATGCTAGATGTATACTCCTGAACGGTGAAGACGTGGAGGAAGCTATGCCCTATCTTTCCAACTTTGTTGCAATTTGAATTTTTTTAAATTAAAATATTAAGTAACTTCAGAAAGATATGGTAGTTATATCTGTACTCAAGAAGTATGACGAGGCCAAGAAATAATCTATTCTGGAGGGCATCAATACTCTGCCGTAAGTGGTGTATCCTTTTCATAAGTAAAAGGTCAGTTCAGTTCCTACCATGTTAGATGATTGTAGTTATTTTTTATACAAAATAAGAAGGTTTATTTCAAAAACAATTACAATTTTGAAGCAGGAGTCACAGATGCACTTAATGTAGTACCTTCTGGAGAAATAGGTTACATAACATTCAGAAATGCAAGCAACAATCTCTTTCTCTAAAAAGTAGACAATAGGCTTTTTAAGCTTAGACAGACTTCAAAATGGAAGGCTGAGAATGCTTTGGTGACAAGCAGAAATCCTAAAGTCTGACTGAGGCAGAGATTCAATTCTTTGTATAGTCATTTTTAACTTTCTCATTGTTTATTGTTATGCATCTGGCAATGGAATTCAATTTTTAGATATTTATGCCTTTTCCTAATCCAATGACACCCCAAAGGCAGTCATTTCTGATGGCATTTGTAATCCCAAGCCTTAATTATTTTCTAGGAACAATAGAAATAAACAACCCATTCAATTTCCTTCTTAAACAGAGGCATTTCAACCTTTCACTTTTTCAGGCCTGCACACTCCCTGTGGGTTCTGGTTTCTTTCCCTGGTTGTCTGTCTAATTCTAAGCATGTCTTAAGGTGGTGGCAGAAGAAGTTTTCAATGATTGGTAGCTGCCTTACTTTATAAAAGAAAGAAGGTTTGCCTTGTTGCTTTAAATTCACAAGACACACACACATACACTCTTACTTTTCTTTGGGTAACCTGAGCTTTGAAGTTCTTAAACTGAAAAGCAGTCTTCTACTCTTTAGAATATTTGAAAATAAGCTACCACCATGAGATTTCCAAGTGTCCTCTGTGAGTCCATAACTACATAATAATATTTGCTAAAACATTGAGCCTGCATTTCTAGGAGGACAATGTTACTGTTACTGGAGTTTTAGGGTAAGAGCCTTAATTCTGGAGGTTCCAATAGAGCAGGCTCACCCACTCCTCCCAAAATGCCAGTTGAGTAGATAGGCCGTGGTAAAAGGCAGGAAAAGAGCTTTAGTCTGCATAGCTGCTTGAAGGACAGATAAAGAGGTTCCAGATCTGTCCCTGAGGTGCTGACAGAGACCTTGGGGTTTTATAGAGAAGAAGCACCAAAGGCAAGGGCTGGGGTTTACACTGATGGTAGCCTAGGTAACTCTAGTCAAATTATGGTCTGGCTGATCGAGATCTCAGGATTGGTTCTGTGATGCTCTTGGACAGACATCATTTCTTGAGGATTCAACCCAGTCCTCCTTATGAGACGAACACCTCCTACTTAGGGACGCAGCTTCAGCCTTGGTTCCCATCATGGGGTAACTGCTCCTGGTCGGAGGGGAGACCTCATCGTGGGGTGGTCTATAAATTCTGCTTTTTTTTTTTAATCCGAGATGATTGCAGATTTGGGACAATGACTGGAGACTTGTAGGCTTTACTCCAAGGGGTCCAGGACTGGATTTTATAAAAGCTGACAGTGGGATAACTCTACAAATCCTGAAAATGCCTTAGCAATTCTTATGTTAGTGTCCTCAGTCTTGAAGGGGGAGGAGACAGGCTGGGTAAACCTAGGGCTAATCAATTTTGTATTACAAATTTTAGATAGACCCTCTTTAAGTGATTAACATGCCTAAGTGCAGAGCTGAGCAGGGATCTGGCCCAAAGTTCTAAGATAATACAGGATATAAAATGAGGGCAGAGATGCCAAACTTTATTCTGCATTTAGTTACCCACTGAGCATCTTCAGGTCTGGCCTCTAAGTCCCTACCTATTACACTATTTGTGAGCTGTGCGGCATTAAGAGAAGACAGTTCTGAGAAGTTTCCAGGTTGCTCAAATGAGTATAGTTGGTTATTGCTTTTGTCCAAAGAGACAAATTAGATGATTTTATGTTGTTAGAAATCTGTATCATTTAGGGAAAAATTCAGATGTCCTTTTTCTTATTGCTGTTATTATTATGTTTATTCCCAAGTGAATTGTCAAATATGCACTGGAACTTTAATGAAATACGCAAAATGATAAACTTCTCTAAAATGACTTTATGTTTACCTTTAAAATGAACCTAGAAATATGTGAATTTTCAAAATAAGTTTAAGTTCACTTATGTTAATGTTTACTTCATATTCATCTTCAAAACCTATTGTTTTAACGATAAATTACATTAAATAAAAATAGCATACTCTTTGTATAG